TCACAACTCTTGTACCCCATAGCAAACAACCATCTTCAATACTGAGTTCATTTTGTTCATTTTTCTTTGCTGCATAGGGTTTCAATTGTTCATCAGAGCACGTTTCCGGCCATCAAGACTTAACCAACCCCATAACTCGTTTAAGAACAGGGTCTTTAACTGTTCCACGAGAAATGTCATTCGCAGAAAAGGGAGTACTGTCTATCAGAGTAAACAAGTTATGTATCTCTTCTGGAACGTCGTCTCGGGTCACCGTCTGTGGTAGTGGCAAACGACTTAACGCGTCTGCGCTGTTGTCGCGACCTGGTCGATACTGCAGATCATAGTCGTACGTTGACAGGGTGATTGCCCACCTCTGGACGCGAGCCGACGCATGCTCTGGAATGGTCTTCCCTTCGCCGAAGAGACCAATTAGAGGCTTGTGATCCGTGATAATCCTAACACGGTGGCCTGAAATGTATTTGTACCACTTTCTAACTGCAAAAACACAGCTGATCCTTCCCTGTCGATCTGGGAATAATTTCGTTCGGCATCATTGAGTGAACAACTTGCATAGGCCACAGGCCTCTCTGTACCATCGCTTTCCACAAGCAGAGCACAGCACCTACCCCTGTGGGCGATGCATCACACACTATAATAATATCCCTCCTGGGTTCGAAATGCACAAGTAATTTCTCGCTAGACAAGGCACATTTTGCTGCATTGAGTGCTTTCTCCTGCTTTCCCCAGACCAACAACAGGCCTTCTTGAGAAGACCGTGAAGAGGGGAAAGCAGAGAAGCGAGATTAGGTATGAACTTCCCCTAATAATTTATCATACCCAGAAAGGATTTCAGCTCCTGAGTATCACGAGGGCGAGGTGCCTCCCGTATAGCTTGAACCTTGTCGTTCAGGAGCTGAACGCCTGTTTTGTCGAGGCGATAGCCCAGGAATGTCACCTACTGCTTGAGGAACTCTCATTTTTCTTTCCGCAGTGACATACATTTCGCTTTGCAGATGGAGAGAACCTTCCACAGGCTTTCTAGTTGTTCTGTATCGTCTTTTCCGGTCACGAAGAGGTCATCTAGGTAGTTGACACAGTTTGGATCGTCCCGGAATACGTTTTCCAAAGTCATTCGAAATATGCCCGGGGAGGACGCAAGCCCGAAACATAAAGGATGATACCTGAAGAGGCCTCTGTGGGTGTTGATCGTCATGAGATCCTTCGATTCGTCTTCCGGCTGCAGTGGTGTGTAAGCCTGCGGAAAATAGATTTTAAAGAATTTTTCGTCTCTTGCGAGCGCATACACCTAATCCTCGATGCAGGGAATTGGGTATTTGTCGTTATTAGTGTCTTTGTTGAGGGTCGTCTAGTAGTCTTTACAGATCCTCACAGTACCATATTTTTGTCTTTACTGGTACTATCGGCGTAGCCTAACTAACATTTCACCATTTAAAGCATCCCTTAGACTGTATTTAAAAATAAAAGACTGGCCTGGGGGAAATCTCAGGTTTAAATCTGAAAGTGGCCTTTATCTTTTCTTGTTGTGCCTTGAGTACAATGTGGCCTACATTAGGCTAAGTGCCTACATCTACAAGATTCAACGACTAAACAAAAACAATGACTTACTTACCTCTCTCTCTTCTTTTTTTCTTTTTTTCTCTCTCTATGTCTCTCTCCCACCCCCCTCCCCTCTTTCTCTCTCTCTC